ACTTGATTTTCTACACTGGAGATGTGTGTTTAAATTTTGCTTATAACAACAATACAAACCCTAAAGATGGTCTTTATGAAGCTTATAATGTTGACTGTGAAAGGGATGCCTACATTCTTCCTAGTTTTAGATTCAACCAAAATTCTGCATTAAATTTGGAAACTACTAGTGCACTCATGTGCCTCACACACACATAGCATTATCACACACACTTCTGTGTGTGGTTGTGCTATGTTACCCAGTGAGGTACCTGCTTCAAGCTATCCACAACTTTCCCACACTGAAAGAAATGTCAAAAGTACAACATGTACAACACTGACTGAAGTCTTTACAACACACACATTAAAATATTGTATGTTTGGTACAGAAGTTGTACCATAAAATCAGCTCCACTTCCTCTACTGCCGTCCAACTATGCCTGTGTGAGAATCTGATGTTTCCGCACCACAGATGATGATCAAGACACTAAAAGGTCTTGTGACAGCCGTAATTACCAGCTACTGCATCACTGCCCATGTTTCCTACTGTTGGCATGGCAGAGGACATAGTACTATTCAATGTTAGAAATAAAAACTGAGAAAATATTTTTTTTACTTAGTGTAACTTAAAATATAAAATGTTAACTTTATTACATTCATTGATATGTATCTGAGAGGGAGAGACATGCACCCCTAGGCAGTTGACGTGGATATGGATCTAAGGCTCCCATGTCAACAGATCCATCAAAACACACTAACTGAGCAAATTCAGTAATACTAATGAAGACCGTATGATACGACTGAAAGCTCCAGAAAACCTTAAGTTGGGATTTTTATTTTATTTTTTTTCATTTTTTCAATTTCATAAATGCACATTAATGTTTAGGACAGGGCTGTTTGTGCCTCGCACAGGTGTTCATGATATTCCATCTACCCTGCAAACAGACCAACTTACTCCTTGTGTACACATACATATTCTTGTAAGATATTAATGATGTTGTGGAAATTGTGTAACAATTGTTTGAGACACAGTTTACCTCCAGCGTAAATGGGAAAGTTCTGTTCCCAAGCAAAGCCCTTCTTAAAGATTCATGTGACTTTTGCCATGAATTGGTTATCAGAAATGGGGAAGGAGGAGTGACAGTGTGCTATCACCTGAAATAAAGTCTCCCATCACTGCACTTTTCACCTCACACGCTCACTAGAGTCCCTTTTAGAATACCTCCAATTTTACATTCTCTCCCATGCATAAGGAAACAGGCACCATTTTAGTTACTGCAGCTGTCCAGCAAAATTTACTACAACCAGGGAAAGTAATGCCCACTTATCTCTCTTGTACACAAATGTAGTCGATTTACAGGAAAGCCTACTTGCTATTCAATATTTATGGTCAGATAAAATTGCAGGAAAGGAGGTTTGAATGTGGAAGAAGCGGGGAGGGAACCAAATCTGAAATATGCATGAGTGCACATAGGCAGCACTGGCTGTTTTGACGTGCGCACTGCAGCTCCATGCGGAAATGAGGGAAGGCTGAGTCACCGCAAGGAGAAGTCTGGGAAAAGAAGGGAAGGGAAAAGTGACCATCAAGATTTAATCAGACATTTCTGCTCCTGGTTTAACTTTAACTACTTAAGATCTGTGGTTGTGGAATCGAAATCGAAATCTGGTGTGCTGGTATTATCATAGATATTAAAAACTAGAGCATGAGCAGCCAGGTCAGTATGGATTAAAATCTCTTCTTCACTTATGTCAGTAATCAGTCCAGTGATCAGTCTTAATCATAAATATCTGAGTAATGATGTGGTCCAACTCTGTTCAATTTTTATGTTTTAGTTTTTGAGCATTTTATATGTAAACCAGTAACACAAAAGCCAGCAGGAGGATCCTTTGTATCACTTGGTGCTTGCAGCCTTGGGAGCTGGACATCTGTTTAGTGTTTATAATATGAAGGCCCATGTATCCATTGATATTCTTTCAATTTGAACAGTTATGAAAGGTTCACAGCTGACTATTCTGAAGTTAATTTGCACCAGCTGAGCTTTTTAGGGACAACTTACCTTGATACGGTTGATGCTGCCTGAGAAAAACACAAAACAAAACATGATGGTGTCCTGTTTTCACCCCCTTCAACCCAGTCAGTCTTCAGTTAAATTTAAGGGAAATTAAGTGAATACCAAATACCAAGCAAGGGATAAAGAAAGAGTCTAGTTTCTTCTCTGAGCCCAGCTATCCCATCCCAAGTGCATGTGCTCCACATTGTATTGTGATAGGATCATAGGGGCCACGGGGCCCAGAGTTTGATTCATCACATCCTGTGGTCAGTGAAGTGTATCTACAGAGCACCAGAAATTCATTTGGCCAAGAAGGTCCAATTTGGTTCAGCAGCAGACTGCTGGTGATAAGGTTTGCATGTTGTTACACAGATTGCAGGTTAATATTTACCTCTGACGCAATTTTAAAATGTATGCCTACCTTGAGGGACGACCTCCATAAATGAGCAAATGTATGCTATATTTATCTCTGGCATAAACAGCGTGGCTTCGAAGGCAGTTGAGATTTATCAGTCATGCTGGTGAATAGATACCTGATAAAGCGGGTCACAGAGATGGCAATAAACGAGTAAAGGAAGGTGGGGATGTGGAAAATTGACTCGAGATTATAGAATTTCCATTTCAAATGCATGAATTGATTTTACATTCCATTTAGGCAATTCAAATGTTTTCCAAAGAACTTAACATTATCTGCTGACTTTAGAAACACAGTGGTTCAGCCTTGTCTCTAGTCGCCATTCATCTTGCTTGAGACTCAGAATATGTGGTGGTTGTTTGGGGCTGCTGACCGGTTTCTTCTCAAAGTAGGCCAACCATTCATTCACATATACAGTACATACATACAATAACTGCTTTGACTTGTACAGTAGGGGACTATAATAGAGCAATCATGTACACCATGTATAGACATATACAGTAGCTGTTGTCAAGGAAGAATGATGGAAAACGATTTATTTAACCCTACACAACCAACATTTTATTTACCACTGTATTGGCAATTCTACGTATACACTCCCTGTGTGGCCATACACAACATTTACCGCAGAAAGAAATAACTGTAAGCAGCTGATGAGAATGACTTGTGTTTGTTTGTCTGCCAGACAACTTCATGAACAAGATTAAACCTGGCCTTACAGTAGAGCAGAGCTGGGTCAGGGATTGTTAAGTGTCTAGTTGTGTTCGGGTTTCTTAAATTGAGAGAAGAATATACTTGAGCTGGAGGAATGTAAAAAGAGGAAGAGGCAGTTAATCCAAATGTTTATCCGCTGTCACCTGTGACAGCACAATGACACACACAGATGTGTGGAAATACTTGTGTGTGTTTGTGAGAGGGATAATACTTTCTTAAGAAGCAGCTACCAACTCTGCTGAGGATGTCGCTCAGACACAAAAGCCTTTTCAGACTGTCAAGATATAACTACAACTCTGTATCAGGGTGTTTTTTACTGTCTGACATGTATGATTGAAGGAAACCTTCTTCCTTACAGATGCTCACATAATAGCTTCCACCATGGACTTTGTATTGTCTCGTTAACCTTATACTGTGTATGTTGCCTTTAAGGAAATTGAATCTTGACGTGTATGTAGTAGACGTACACCATGATGCAGAGCTGAGCCCAAATAGGAAATGATCATGGGTTGCTGGTAATGCTTTGTATTATCTTCATATCCATAAAGGTCACAGATATATGCTGCACACAATATTATGCTAATTGTCACACTTTCCATGCCAGTACTATTGAATTATATATGTGACTGATGGACAGTGCCTTGCAGAATAAGAATATATGGGAAACAAGAACGAATGCAAATGCTCAGCTGTGTTTGTGAGAATTTGTGAGAGTGTTGACACGATTGTAATATTGCTATCTGACACGCGTCAAAAATAGGATTCTCTGCCTGCCGACACTGATTTCATACGCGAAGAGAAAGATCATGTCAAGGAGGCATGTGTCACTCGTCTCTCCCCTCAATGTGCAGCTCGGCAGGCATCACAGTGTTTTGCACATTCAATTTCCTGTGTTTAAATCTGACACACAGGTTTTGTTTTCGTTTTCCCTTTACCAAACTGAATATGATAATGTCACTTGGGAATTGCTAGATGAAAAGATTTCCATGGTGCCGTCAGCTTTTTTTGCTGAGGAGATGAATTGAACAGTAGGCGCAGGGTTTGGAACCAATACAGCATGCATTATAATGAAATCATCTTCTTTTTTCCGTTCAGAGAAGCTATGCTTTGAAAATGGAGTTTGCAAACCAAATTGGATTAGAAATGGTGGATATTTTGTTAGGTATCTCTCCAATTTCATAGTGTGTGTGTTTCCGTGTGAGTGTTTGTGCGTGTGTGTGTACGAACCTGCTTGAATGCTGTAGGATCCTTCAGGCCGTAGCTATCAATATTAATGTTGGTTCAAAGCTTTATTCTTCAAAACAAACATATAATTCTGCTTTATCTGTTAAGTTCTCAGTTTGACTATTCTGCAGCATCAAAAGCTAAACTTTCTGTTATTGTTTTAGAAGAACAGTTACATTCGTCATACCCATGTCTACTGGTTGAATACCGCTTTTATGATTTCACGACACCGGTACTAAAGTGACAATCATCATCTAGATGAGCAGGAAATATATTTTCCTCACAATGCTATGCTCAGATCCGTTATATCAGATGGTGGTGGCACAATCCGGTCTTTCTATGTATTTGAACAATGTGTGACGTGTGCAAGGGCTCAGCAGGTATGAGCAACATAACAGCGATTTAGAACAACAGTGTGGACATTGAGAAAAGTGAAAACACTTTAAAAAAAATCTATTTCAAAAATAAAAATCCTGTCTTTAGGATTACATCTCAGAAAGCCCATCAATATAACAAGCAGAGCCATAACCTACAGTGAATGTCTGTGCCAGCAGCATGTGTAAGTGCAATGCACAAACGTGAATTCTAGTTCTAATCAAATAGATTATCTCTTCACAGCTTTAAAAAAGGGCCGATTCTGGATCACTCCTGACCCCTACCACAATGACGACAACATCCAGATTGGACGTGAAGTCAAGATATCTTGCCAGGTAGAGTAAACACACACGCATGCATAACATAACCGGTTATGGCTACTGATCAATGCAACACAAATAACAACGTGCTGAATGTCCCAGGTGGAGGCGACCCCACCAGAGGAGCTGACTTTTAGCTGGCTGAAGAATGGCCGTGCCCTGCGGAGCTCAGAGCGTATGGTCATCACCCAAACGGACCCGGACATCTCCCCAGGGACCACCAACCTGGACATCATAGACCTCAAGTTCACCGACTTTGGCACATACACCTGCGTGGCTGCACTAAAGGGAGGAGGCATCCCTGAGATCAGCATTGACGTCAACATCTCTTCCACAACTGGTGAGCATCACACCCCTTTGTGTCAGTGACGCATTTACACACCTTCCCCAACACGTTCAGCACACACACACACACACACACACACACAGGTCCATTATTCATGGACACATGCTTTAGAAGATCATGAGATCACTGTGGCAGTTTCTCGGACTGTGGGGCTTGGGACTTTTTAAAGGAAAATTCTTGTATTTTAACAATTAAAGTTTTATTTTTCATATAATTTTACTCTAAATGTTTGCTAGGATGTTACCTAAACCATTTCTTTAGAAGTGAGAACTAAAGATAACACACTGCAAACTGTAAATGTAATATAATCATCCACTGCACTGTAAAATTGTACAGTAGGTCAAAGTTAGAACACGAAAATGACTATCCACTGTCTAATGAGCGTGTACAACTGACAGGTGTAAAAATATAATAATAATGTTCAGCTTGGTATTTGTCTGTAGGTAAGGTTTATATAGTATTATTAACCTTGGGAAATCTGAGTAGTGCTGCCATTTCCTGAGGTTTCAGCCATTGAGTTGGTATGTAACAGACAGAAATGGTAACAGTTATATAAACTAAGACCAGGTTTAAGAAAAGCAAATTTTCCTTTAAATGGTCAGTTCACTCAGATCTTAGAAAACACCTTTCCCCACTTCTCTTTGTGGGATAAAGCAATGCAGATACTGTTGTTTATATCTCCCGCTGAGAATTTTGCACCCCAATACAACAGGTGAATTGAGTTTTGTCTGTGGTGATTATATTAAAATATTTTTTTATTGCTTTTTTAAATGCTTTTTACCTATGTCAGAAAATAGTTCTACTTGAAATGACAGTTGACAGAGGGGTCTGTGGATTATCCAGACTAACCGGGACATTTAATTTTAAACGCTTTACTAGCACAGACAAAAATCAATTCACATGCTTGGGGGGCAGTGTGAGCCTTAAAAACTCAAAATATCCAAACTTAAACAGATAAAAGTAAAACTACCAGCAAGATTTTTTTTGTAGGTATGTGATTTGGGTGAATTGACCCCTTAAGCCCTCTTCCTGCACTGTCTCCACAGGATAAAAAAGCTTGTATGACTTTGAGTTGTTCACTGCCTGACTAAATACCAATAATATGTCCCAGGCTGAAATATGTTCAAGGACCACTGTCTTCTACTGTAATCTCTAGTTACTGCAAACTGAATTACAGCACCAACACCATTACAATGACTGTTCAATGGGATTCCTGTGAACCAAAGCTGACTCCATCAGTCCGACTAATCAGAGACAAAAACATCCATTGTCCTCCCATTTAATTGGCTGCTTCCACCACTGTTCCAACTAACTTTTACATACGTTTGTACAGCATGTTAATAACACAACATACCAGCCCACCTTGTCTACTGAGCTGCATCATTGTAGTTTCAATCATGGCATGTTAAGTAGTCTCCTAGAAACAGAGCAGCATTACAGCAGCCGTTCCTTGTGTCTTTTAGGTATTCTTTTAAAAGAAGGCGAGATGTAGGTGCTTGCATAATAAAATCAGTGTTCAGTCTTTAAAAGACAAAATCTGCCGTCAAACATGTATTCTGTGTATTGTTTTAGATTTTATCATCAATCAGCCCCTCTACCTGTCAGATTTTTTAAGAAAGAAGCCTGGAACAGCTTCACAGGCAACAAAAGAGAGTCTGTTTTTTAGAAGATTGCTAGATAGCACATTTAGCACAGTTAACAATATGTTTTGTACTTACTCACTGAAGGTTCCAAAACAATAGCAATAACAAAGCAATAACACTTTTCGTCTTTATCTGTAATCTCCAGCGTGAGGTCAGTCAATGAGCAGGAAATGTGTGGTAATGTTCCTGTGTCAGCACGCATTACTTCATCGCCCATCAACTTTACAGAGGGGTGTGACCCAATCGACTACACGCCTGCAGAGACGCCACATTCGGGAGTCTCCTGCTTGCCCATCCCAGATTTCCAGATCTTCCATGTGGGGGACTCCCATGGGTTTGTGAATTTACTGGCGTGTGTTCTGTACTGATAAGTGATTTTTAGGTTGTGTGATATTTTGCGACTTGTTGGGTGCATATTTCGTCCTTGTGCACACACACACACACACTCATGCACTCACAGTGACAGACACATTATACACACTCACACACCCTTTACCTCCTCTCGCCGCCTTGTTTTTTTCTATGGCACACACACCTCGCTGCCACTCACAGCGTGAACATTAAAGCAGTATGTCGACCTTGGGCGCATAATTATTGTTAGATAATCCTTTGATAATCCCTGCGCTATAAAACAGTGGGATCAATCGTACCTGCCAAGATTGTTTCCTCATTATCTTTTAAGTAGTGCAGTCTCTTCTTTTGGAGTGCCTGGGTGATGCCAATACAATAACACAGACCCTTTAATGTGTTAAAAAAAATACTGCTTGCTGACTGAGGAAATGACTGACTCTATTGTGATCATATGAAATGAAAGGTTTCCTTAAGGCTTAGATGTGATTGCCTCTTAAGCTTTCATTGTTCCAGTCAGATGTGTGGCTAGGAAATATTATGAAAGTGTTGCATTGTCGTAGAGCTGTTCCTGTCACAGGAAATAATATATTGAATTTTGCTTCTGCCAGTTACGATTCCCACTGCATTACCTGGATGTGACTGGGCTGTTTTCCTGGAGAATGCCTGTTATGTGTGGCGCTTCTTTTAGTCAGATAAATGCCATGAATCAGAAAAGTATCTGAGCGGCACTGTATAGCTGCTGTGTACTAAAGCGCGTTGTGCCTCTGCCTTGCCATGTGCCTGCAGCCTGTTTTGGGGTGAATAAGCCCTTTTTTTGTTACTCTGCCTGTTCTCCTGAAGGGAGAAAGCCCGAGCTGCAATTAGAAGTCTTAATAATAAGCGTTTAGAGGAGATTACGCTGCAGGTCTGCCAGGGTTTCGTGCTGGGGAAGTGGTTGGAAAGCGATTGAGCCTAGTGTCTCTAGTCTGAACACTTTGGAGCTCGCTGGCTGTTCCAGCATTGGCTCCAGTTCCAGATTCCAAACCCGGTCTTACCCCCAGCCCTTCTTTATAAAAGAGAATATTTATTATCTTCCATTCTTTTAACTTTTGATGAACGCTGATTTCAACAGCCTTCATCATTTCTCCCTTTTTGCAAAACACCACTAATATTTACTATCATGACACGCTCATTAAATAAGCAATTTCTTTTCTCGTCGGGGCTCCCAGAGATCGCAGGGCTAATGTTTATTTATGAGCTTGGTCCGAAAACGAGGACACAGACCTCCCCTTTGGATTCTGTTAGGATTAAGAACCATGAGACACAGGAACAGCTGAAAAGAGTTACAAGCATTAGTGTAAACATAAAGCATCCCATAAACTTCTAACAGGAACTGGATCTGATTAATCCTCTCATTAGTCTCTGTGTTAAATGTGTGTTTAGTGGGTGTGTCTTGCTGGATTATCGTTAGATGATGTAATTATTGACATTCTGCGGCTGTGACTCTGAAATGTTATTTGGCTTCAGACTGAACCGAGTCCATCTTAGAGATAAAATTGTAATAGCATGTAGAGTCATTACGGATGGATTCTTGACATTTAGAGCTAGTTTCAACACTGATTCACAAAGCTGATGCCCGCTTATTGAACTCGCTATAAACAATAGATTCTACTATTGTGGTTCAAGAAAACAACATTACTGTCCTCTAAACAGCTGTGGCAATTTGTCTCTGTTGATACATCTTAGCATCAGCACACGTCAGTAGCTCATTCTCAGTGTGATTGATGATCACAAAGTAAGTACCAGGGTTGAAAGTCACCTCTCTCTTGTGAGGGAGATAAATCCTTCCGGGATGATTTGCTCAATTAGCATCCCGCTCACACCTGAAACTCTGGCACCACCCAGTGTTTCTGTCAATCTCAAGAATCACTGCAGTTAATGAATTAAGCAAATCAATTAAGTGCTCAGTTGATTAAAAATGAGCTGGTTTAATAAACACAATGTACTTTTTTTTTTAAATTCCTAAATGAATTTGAGTCATCTGAAGCTTGTGGCAGGCCTGCTCAACGCTGTCTATTCTCCTTACAACCGTCCCGTTGTCTGGTAGACCGTGATTCATCATGAGCGGCCATCAACCGAGTGACCGTGCCACATATGACTCTAATAGGAACGGCATGACCGCTGGCTGTTGACCGGACTGATGTGCTTGTTTCAGCAGCAAATTCACTGACCCTATTAAATAGAAACCTGGTCTGCATCCTGACTCACCTACAGGGTGCAAAGGTTCAACTGCTGTTTGGTCACTGTGGGTGGAAACAAGTTGTTTGCTGCTTTTTTTCCTTCATGTTCGGACAGAATGTGGTTCTTTGTTGATGTTGGTCAAATGTCCATTTTCATTCATTGATTTTTTTTTGTATTGTATTTGTACAGCAGGAAATCAAGCTGGTCCAACAACTGGCTGAATACACATTGGGAATTATGAAAACCAAATATCCTGTAAGCAGTGTGTCTTACCTTTGCAATGTGTCTACTTTATATCAAGTATAGATCAATTCAATTTCAAATTAATAAAATGAAAAGAGAGAATATTTTTCAATTAACCATTGGTTAAGTCCCGTCCTCCTTAGTTATTGTTGCTAGTATGCCTTTCAAGCTTTCCATTTTCGCATGGTATGGAGTTTACATTAACAGATTTACCACTTAAAATGCTTCTCAATTCTCAAAAAATCTGTCCTTGATAGACAGTTGCAGTCAAAAGCAGGGTTTTCATTTAAAGCTATTAACTGTTGATTTTGCCGGCTGAAATGACAACTGTTGCTGGCAGATTTTGTCAACTGTAGCTTCCTAGCTAATAAAGCCAACATTAACTCCCTTAATTGGTTGAAAACACTATCTCCAGTTGACTTTTCCATGTTTCAAGTGGATTTGTTTTAAAACCAGAATCCTGTAAAAGGGGTCTTAGATATGCACTTGATGGCTACATACATGAGCTCATGCTTAATAATTGAGGCTAAAGCTGCA